AAGGGTCAGCCATTTCTGACTTATGAGACACCTTTTGCTTGCATACCATGTACCTCCCAACTACTACAACTATGCCAGGCACCAGGCGGATAGAAATCGGTAACCATTCATTTTAACTACCTCGCGGCTCACGAAGCGGCCATTTCGGAATGAGTCCCACGAGAAACATTCATCCTTCTATTAACGTTTCCCGTGGGGCTCGAACCTTTGACCTCCCCTTCCGAAGGCGGACGCCTTAACCACTAGGCCAACGGTACCGGTACTTAATATGTTAAGTATTTTAGTTGATAAACAAACAAGCGACACGTATTTTGTCACATTTACGCAAACTGACAACCATTAACATATGAAATAAATATATTTAAAAATCAAGGTTTGAAATACAATCTGCTTGTTTATTATGAGTAGGAAATCCCCTCTGATATCCATCACGCCATGTCTACATGTAAAAATAAAATATATGGTCTTATGGCCTCTGCAGATAGTTTTGCACAAATTGTAATTCTAAACCTCATTATACGTATTTATGCAAACCATGATACGATACGGTGGTTTTCGCTTGCTATTAAAATATTTTTTATTTTTTTGGTTATAACTGCATTAACAACATTCCAATGACATTGATAAAAATATATTTCAGGAAAAGAAGTTGATATAAGAACATTATCAGAAATGTTAATTTGAAAATAGCTAAGAAGTACATGGCTCTATCATGCCAAAATTTCATATGAAGCAGTTTCGGATATACGCCAATTAATACCAATTATTAAATACATTTTTGACCCAAAAATTTGACACGTGAATAGGTTATTCAGTTCCATGTGATTATCATCTTATATGATATGTTTACAGTCGCATTTCTTACAACGAAACGATCGACAATTAAACATGCTTTTTAAAGTGTCCAAGAATGTACAAATTGACAATTATATCTTTATTAAGAAATCACGTTATATGTTAGTTGTCCCGGTTTGTTGTGGACTTATTATTTTACTTCATTTGAGTACCGGTCGATATGATGCTCTAAAATTCCAAACTCACAAAAAATTGTATAATAGAATTGTGAATTGTGCATGACTCGTTATAAATGTCAAAATATGCGTGCCTGGTGTGACACAAATAAACACACTGGAATCATTTTCTGCGTGTTCAATAAAACCATGTTGGTGTTTTCGCCACAATTAACTGCTGTGATACAGGACGTTACTTTAAGTAATCAGTTTATATTATTTTGTGGACTTATGTACGAGGAATTATCCGAAAATTCGTGGGCTTTTTAAATATATCTTGAACGTCAACGTGTATTGTAGTGAAATATGAATAACATACATTGTAGAATATTATCAACACATTTAAAAAGAAACAGTTAACTGCGTCAATTATTAATTTTATATTGCTTTTTAATATGCACATTTACGGCACCCGGCGCACTGTATGAAAAAGCAATTAGTCATCGTATATTTTTTGCTAAAAACTAATAATTAACGAAGAAAACCCGCTAAACATCGCATGTTTCTTCCATGACGTCGTTTAAGTAATTCTTTAAAATTATGGAGGTCATTTTTGTTTATTTTTGTTGATATCGCAAGACGCCGATATTGTTTACAACGGGAAAATGACGGACATAAAGAAAATCGCGCCATCATACAATTTTGTTGTTATTTGGGAATGACACCTGTAAAATATTTGAAAAAATCATCAGCCGGACAGAGAAAGTGAATTTCACGATTATTACTGTTAAAGTGGCATAAGAGATTTAGTGTTTTACAGAAAAAAACGGACATTTCTTTGTAACGGTCATTCACTTTGTAACGCTGAAGCACAAGTTGTACGTTATCATGACATTGACGTCAATAACTTTTTGGAGTGCGCCGCTGCCGCCGATATGTGTTTATGTAAAAATTTAATATTGCTGTAATATTAGAAGCTACTGACATGATTTTTTGTGTTTAATTGTTATTTATTCTTCTAAGCAGTGTAAGAATTTGAAATCAATATCTCAAATATATTTTACGCAACATAGAATGTCCACGAATTTTTTGATAAACCCGCGTATATTGGCCGTTGAAATAACAGCATATTAAAAATGAATATGTTATTATATGGAAAGGCGCAAGGAACGGCAATTAAGTGCTGACTGTATCCTGGCTTAAACTTAAAAGTTTAAAATACACAAACAGATAATGTAGTGTCTTGTTTATAAGCGGTATATTCGATGGGTATATTGATTGTTAGAATGAAAGTGCACAACTTGAACAAAATCCAACGAATGTCGTTACAGGCGTCTCTGACGGCGACATATGTATGAAAGGGAGAGACTTTTCGGATTGTACTTGGATTTGAAAGTCGGATAGTTATTTATTTTGCTTTATTTTTGTTTATTTTTAATTCAAACTATTTAGTTATTTTATGTATCAAGCATGCATTCATAAGACCTTTTCTATATCCATATATTTTTATTTGTGTTTTATTAAACCGCGATGTCTAAAGGATAATTATGACGTTAAGTTGCTAATAAGTATTTGTCTTATAGAAAAATTTCGTCGTGGAAGATGTGATTATAACACAGCGTTGTTAACGTGAGGACAAAACATGATAACTGTTCGTACAAAAAATCAAGCCAATAATTAATAGTACACGGCAAATAACGTACCTGCTGTCAAAATAATGCAAATGATGATACAAGCATGAAACTGTCAGGAATCATCTTTAGACTATGCAGATTTCAAAAGTGAAGTTGACTCAAATATATCTATGCTTATTCAAGATGGTCGCCATTTTCAAAATGGCCGACATATAAAGTTGACGTACATTATATCTTTTCAGACAGACTTGAAACTCATCTATTGAAAATTTGCTTTCATACCTATTCAGAAACTAAGATGGCGTCCAATATGGCCGCCGATTTTATGCAAACTTGATATACCTCTTTTGAGGTATAATTTGTTGCACACAGAATGCTGTTTTCGATATAAAAGAGTTTAAACTAACCAGTAAAAACAAATTATATGTTAACAATATTGAAAGTCAAGTTTTCAAGATTTTTTGTACAAACAATATATTTAAAAATATTAAACAAAAATGTGCCATTCTTTGGCCTTTTGCTCTAACATAGTTCTAGGTCGATGTTCAAAATTCAAAAAAGTTACTTAGTTTCTTAAAGTGTGTTTGATATTCAATTAACAATACGTTTCATTGTATAAATGTAACAAAAACATATATTCTGTAGGTTTTACTATTTGTTAAAGTGGTTGGGGTAAATTCATTCAACAATTGTAATACAAAATAACGAAATTACAAAGGTAGGTTATATTCATTTCTTTGTGGGTTGTTTTGTAAAACAATTTACGGACTTCACAGTTATAAAGTATTTTTATTGTATTAAGGTATTTTTGTCATCCTTCAGGTGTAGATGGTGTGCTTAAATATCAATAAATGCACATACAATCATTTGTATACATTATTCAGTTTTAAAATTGATATAACTTGTTTCAGTATTCTTACAAAAATCCACCAATTTTACAAAAAGTAGACTGCTAGATTGAATATACATAAAAAAACATGCTCTAAATAAAATCATACACGTAGTTGGAAGAAATGTTTTTTATTTACAAATACAATATTGCCTTAAAGCTAACCCAATGAATTTTCCATTTTGTATCATAGTCTTGGTAAAGGCTTGTAACAGAATCATTTAAAGTGATATATACTTTCATATCAATGTAATCAAGTATTATTGAATTAGTACTGTTCATTTCTATCAACTTGTTTTAGGACATGATATTTTCATAAGATTCAAAGTGAAATTAAAGCGACTGTCACACCATATAATCTATGTGTAGTGAAATAGGTATCAATGATATAGCTTGACCCACATAACGTTGCTGATGATTTGAAATATAAACTAAATGTATTTCAAAGAATATTTATACTTTGTGTCCCCTCTTAAACAAAAGAGCATTGATGATCTAGATCACTCGTTGATATTGGAGTACGATAAATTCATAATTATAAGGAGTATCATTTTTTCACCAAATACATCTATGATTTATGAACTTTTGGAAAAGAAAAAAACCAAACTAAGCTTTTGAAACATTTTCACAAAGGAAGACTCATTTATTTATATAATTATATTCTATACAAACTAAGTATTTTGACTCTGTGACAACATTTGATAATTTTTATATAGCATCACAATGTGAAGATAAACGATATTTTGTTTGCTCCGTGCACTGTACTTTGGAAGAAAATTTTTAAAACATACGTCAATATGAACTAAATGACATCCTAGGGAAAGCTATTTAAGACTGCATGTACATGATTTAAAGGCCCACCACGAGGGGCACAGTTTTTTAAGTTTGAGATTTGTCTAGGAAACCACATTGAAGTCTTCTTTTAGAAAAATACAATGTCAACATATATCCTTGCAAAGTAGAGTAGACCTCTTTTAAAGTTACATTAATCGCTTTTCGGTCAATTAATGTACATAGATTTGCACAGTAGTAATGTTTTAAAAATCTCAAAAAGCACAATCCACAGACCATAGATACTTAGCATGTAGCCTCACTTTATGCCTTTATTAACATATTTAATGATTCATGCTCAAAGAGTCACCTGGGTTTATAAACTTGTATAGGAAAACACATTAAAAACTTCTAGTGTTAAATTACAATGACTAGAACTAAGATGTACTATGAAATAACATGCATAAATTTGTATGTTGCTGTCAAAAATGGCTTTGCAAAATTGGTATCACTTAATTTATACAGACTACCGTAATAAATCTGTTTTCTCTAAACCTACAGTACATTTCAATGTAATTTTAAGATCTGTACAAAAATTGAATGTATGAGCTATTATCTGAGACAAATTTATACTGCGGCAATTTTAAAAATGGCGGGCATCTTGAATGAGCAGAGGCATTTTTGGCCCACTTCATTTTTTAAAACTTCATGGTCTAAACTTTCATTCTTGTATCACATTTTGCATTATTTTCTCAATTTCCCGCTCCACTATAATAAGTGCAAACATGCAATGTCTTCATTGGTGTAAGTTTGCATTAACATGCTATAACTCAGTTCGAACTAGCTACCAAGGAACAATTGGTGTTATTTGGTGTTACTCTTATAAAACGTATTATGTCAATTCATATATGATAAAAGAATATTGCTCAACGATTATATTAAAATAACAGGGCCTTGACCTTTTGCTTCGTACACGCTTTAAATTGTCAAGTCTAATTTATTTGATGAAGTAAAAATATTCAAACTGTCAATTATTGTTTATCAATTATACATCAACACACTATCTAGACCTTGAACAGATTGACCCTAAACTTACAAAGTTAGAGAAACCACCAAAAGTATCAAACTAATAAAGATAAAATACAAAGGTTAACACATATATTCTTTATGAGCAACAGTGTAAATAGCTATGATTGTAAGAAACATAATGACATTATAGATTATTTACTGTTTCCTCATTTCTGAAAAAAAAAAACACTTCTACTAGCAATATTTTAGTTGATAAATATATCCATAACTCATAAACCATACAATAAACTTTATTGAAATTTTGCATATAGGTGACCTTTAAGACACATAACTGTCGTATGTTGTCAATTTTACAGTTTCTTATAGTGCCCATTACCCATGGTCTACCCTAATTGCGTTATGCACAGGGGCTTAAAATGTTATGTCATTTCTCTTCTCAAACAGAAAAACACACAAATCTAATTCGCGGACACAGTTATAATTTATTGTCTTTATATAGATGAACAACATGAAGAACAACCAGATGATTAAATTATCTAGCAGCAACAGCTGCACCAAGATCAAATACCACAAATTAGTTATTATTTTTTCAAGACGTTCATCAAAAGTTCATTGCATTCCTGTGTTTTCACGTTTCGCGTTTTGTCAATGTCTCTTCTTGTGGGTAGCGGCGGGACAGGGAAAAGGTACTAAGCATGAGTAAGCAGAATTTTGTACTTCACAACAGCAGGTGTCAAGTGCCGTGTGGCAGCCGTAAAAAGTTGCCCCGTACTTCACTTCAGTTTTGTTATATTTTCTGGTCCTTCGGGATCATTGATGCCAACACTATAAAGTGTTGAGAATTGAGTACCGCTCAAGCCGGTGCTAGGGGGCGTGAGGGATGTTGCACTTATACATTGTCCCTCATGTACAGACTCAATCAAACCGAGTCTGCAATTCTTATGTTATTTTGTTGTGATTAATGCTTCCGAGGGATCACTTTGTTTCCAGAATTTTGTACTTCACAACAGCAGGTGTCAAGTTCCGTGTGGCAGCCGTAAAAAGTTGCCCCGTACTTCACTTCAGTGTTGTTATAATTTCTGGTCCTTCGGGATCATTGATGCCAACACTATAAAGTGTTGAGAATTGAGTACCGCTCAAGCCGGTACTAGGGGGCGTGAGGGATGTTGCACTTATACATTGTCCCTCATATACAGACTCAATCAAACCGAGTCTGCAATTCTTATGTTATTTTGTTGTGATTAATGCTTCCGAGGGATCACTTTGTTTCCAGAATTTACCACAAAACATACGCAGCCATCTGTTTAATCGTTTTGTCATTTGCTGCAAGAATATCGAATTGTAAACATAATTATAACGGAAGTGCAAAATGAAATAAAATACAAAAAAAATAGAAAGAAGCAAACCATCAACATGTTAATGTTCAATCTATTAAGTTTGTGGCGTGTGTTAAATTTGCATTAAGATGATCAAAAAAATCGTCTGCAGATTTGTACATTCATACATTCCATTTTCAGTATCAAAAGCAATGTCGATAATCTTAATCAATGAACTGTCCTGAAAGATACTGTCAGCAGCTAGTTTATCCTCTGTAGGCAATTTCGGCTCATTTCCTTTTGTTATTACATGCAGCGCTATCAAAATTGTGTCGTTTACAACGGCTTCTGAAAGAGTCATAGAATATGTTTAACTTGTCTTAAAAGGTGAATTCACAATGTACAGTGTACGTATGTAAAAACTGTAAATTAATCTTAAAATGGAATGGTATATAAGCATATAATTGCCGCAGAAATTATATTATGCGAAAAAAACTGTATGTGTAGAAATATTCGCGGGCTTAAAATTTTCACGATCTTCGCGGTGACATTCGATCCGCGAATTTATGTTAGCGCGAATATTTCTACACCAATAATTCCTTAATAGTCATATTTTTGCGCTTCTATAGAACAATGTATATCGGTGTGTGATATGCTTTCACACTTTTTTATTTAAATGTTTACTGAGTAATTGTGTTTTGTTTTCCAAGTTATTCATGATTTAAAAAAGTTTATGTTTGTGTTTTTATATTGTTAGTTCAGAATAACACACAAAACATGATCTAATCAGATGTCAAGATGTTTATGACGCAAATTATGAATAATTATGCACGTTAACGGGCATTCTTTTCTTTGCTGTAGACAGTGTCTTTTTTCTTTACAATAGTGTATTGTTTGACACCAAGTATTGAAAATAACTGTGATTAAAGTAATTTTCCTTATTTTATAACCTGAGTGGTCTACGCGAATTAATGATTTTTGGCAGTCGCGTCCGCGAATTCAAAATAGCGCGAATATTTGTATAGACCCCCAAAATGGACCTTTCCGCGAAAATTTACTTCCCCGAATCTAAATATACAAACAGTAGTACTCTAAAATATCGATATATAAGATTGAATATTATTCACAGGAAATGAAACCACGATCTATAACTTTTACTTGTTTATCAATTTCATAATAAAAAAGGTTTTACATACGCAAGTCTTTATCATAGCAATTCTTGATGTCAGACTCAATGCGCGATGCAGCATTGCAAAGTATTATCAACAACAGATCAGGGTCGAGGTTTCTAGCTTCACTTGGCTCCTTTTCATCAATATCAAATCCAAAACTCCTCATTTTGGTTTTAAATATCTTAATAAACACTGTCAGGGCTTTGGTATTAGACGGAGTCATCAGATATATCTTTTTGCTGGAATATCCTAAAAATAGATACGCTTTGGCAAAATGTCTTAAGTATTTTGAAGCACAACTTTTATCTCCAATATAATTGACACATGAACAGAAATAAAGACAAAAAGCAGTGTTTGTTGAATTACAAATAATAGATAATGAATAAGTGTATACCATTTATGTTTGCAAATTTATTTTAAATTTCATCACTGAAAATTTGACTGGAATAAGTTAAATAAAAATATTTTTAAATACTTTTAAAATACTTAAGTCAAAACTATCCAATATGTTAATAACAAAGCTCATTTTTAATATTTTGAACAAAAGGAAAAAACACTTGTAAGATATACATGTATAATCAATATATCTAAAATATATCTAATGAGCTACTTTTGCCATTAAGGTAAATCACGTTTTCTTGCACACTCTCCATTTGTTCGTGTCGGAGTTGATTTGTCTTCTGATCAGAGGAGTGGTCCATTGAATCTTTCGGTGGATTAGAGGGAGAAATCATTGTATCCTTCGTTTGTTTTGGGGGAGAATTCATTGAATCATTTGGCTGATTAGAGGCAGGCACTATTGTATTATCGGCTTGACTTTCCTGATTGTCTGAATAACGAAATTCTTTACAGAACTGCAAAATTTGTTTAATGGCTTTTGTATTCATATCGCACTGATATATTTTATCGTCATAGAAACCCATGTCAACCATCTCTCCAATTTTCTTCAAACTTTCTTCGCCTCTTACTTCACCACTAGAGGGGAGCTTTGGGAGAGTTTCTTCTCTCATAACGTGTACCATTACCAGAATAACTCTGTTGTAGTGAACCTCTAAAACAAAATGACATTGTTTCTCTGTTTTCATAGCATCAAATGAGTGTTTGAACCGTTGCAGCACAATAACAATCATTAAATCATTTTAATAACAAATATGTAATAAATATCTTTGTTTCCATACAGGCATACGTTTTTAAATACCTTTACTCTGATACCAATCGATGTAAGTTGTTATTACACGAAAGAGACGTATAGCTAGTAAAAGAACAGATGTCCCAGAAGAAAGATAAATAAAATATTCTGGACGACTTAAATGTAAGTATTGTTAAAATTTAAGAACAGAATTGTTACAATATCAAAACAGGAATTCTTAAAAACATGATTTTAACTTAGGTTGTTACGTGTTATCTTTATCAATATGAAAATGTAAATATTGCCATTAAACTAAATGTATACATGTATTATATATATATATATATATTTCTAAAAAACTTAGTTACTAATCAGGTAAGGATAATTACGTTCAACATCTTTCAGACATTTCTTTACTAAGGCTTTTGTGGATCCGCCTTGTCCTATGTTGCACACGAGAATTAAAACTGCTTCAGGAAGTGCATCTGCTACTGTTCCAATAACGGCAGTATCAATGCGATTCCGATGCATTATCTCATACTGTAACCGTTGTATAAACATTGTAACTGCACGGGTGCTTCTGGTGTCTAGTATTTGAACTCGCACTCTTGGCGCACTGAAGTATTGATCTAGTAAAAAGTAAATAAAAGAAGTTTTGTAATACATCTAAGTGTTTCTTAGACATATGATAAACTAATTAAGTTCAAAAGGGCTGTATATATTCGTGGTTCCAAGGCAGAGTAATATTGGGAAGAAAATTGATTGACTCATTGTCGCGTAAAATGTAAGATGTAGGCAACAATATTCTGTACTCAAAATTGTTTGCGTATTTTACACACATTGGAAACGTGTATACATTAACGAATTTCCCTGCTCTGTTAAGTTGGACAATGTTCCATGCATATTATCAATTTAAAAAAAATGTAGTAAAGATAAATTGTTAGGACATTCAAATATATTGCTGCTTATGTGTAGTTATCATAGATAGACAATATTTATTATAAACCAATAATCCGCTGAAAAGTGTTCAATAAAATTAGACAATATATTTCTCATATATGATAAAACCCATCTTAAATATTATGCAAAAACCATTCGACATTAGCATTAATTTAAACAAGATTTCATCAATATTCGTCACATTATTTAAATCATTTTCAATCTGCATGCTGTGAAGCTACAAGTTCATACCAATTTTGTGTTCATCTTTATTAACCATCTCCTGAAAGAAAGAAACGCAGTAGTCTGAAAAGAACAAATCTCAGATAGTAGAAAATATGAATGGGTATTTCTTCTCATCCATTTGCTGTGCTTTTAGTTGGGATTGTTCACAGGTTATAACTTGCTTGTGAGATTTCACCTTGAAATTTAATTTTAAATCGTACACAGTACGTCTTGTGCAGTAATATTGTAATATTTCAATACAGAGATTTGATTCTAAAATGAATAAATTGGGTGTATACTGTAGTGAATACAAGACCAAGACCAATTCGTAATTTGCGTGATAAAATAATACTTGGTTTTTCAAAATGCATAATATTATATTGCAAAAGAAAGGAACGAATTATCAATTTGTTTGAGAATAAAAAGATGATGTTAATATTGAAAATGCAGGGATGATGCTTCACACTTATTTATTCTCATCATTTCGGCTCAGAATTTTTGTCCGATGGAAATGAATAAAGACTGTACAAAAGAAAAGTGTAAAATAACTTTTTCTTTATTGTAAGTTTCTCAACAAAATTACTTTTATAACAGTGATCTAAACATACAATGCAGAACATGGAGCTTTAAATACCGCATTGGTATAACAGCGGCAAAATAATAGCAAGAAACAGCAATACTTGTTTCGAGTGTATGTGGGGGTGCAATCGTGTTTTAAAGGCATGTGTGTTTGTGCGTGTGCGTGTGCCTGTGCGTGTGTGTGTGTGCTATTTATTTTTTAACTTTTTTCTTTCCTAAAAAATACTGTAAGCAAATCAACAATATATATTAAGCCATGCGTTTAATATCAAATATCGTTATTGTTACTTTGCATAAGTAAACTTGTATATTCGAAGAGTGTGTGAGTTTATACGTTGATGAAAGACATATTATTAAATACATGTAAATAAACCATCTTTTGGGCATTGTGTAGTTTTTTGCTAGTACGCCATCCAACTAGGATGCATGATTTCTACAAATACTTTGATATATACAACTGTATATACAAAACATATTTTATTCGAGCCAACCTATGAAAATAACATTTTAACTGTTCATAATGTTTCTTTCAATTACTTTTTTGTTTAGCCTGATAAAATTATAGAAACGATACCTTCAAACGTTCAAAATATTTGTCGAACAATTCTCTATTTATAACAATCAGTCCACCATTGATGCGTTTGTCTAATTGCTGAAACTGTAATAAAATATACGTTAAGCCTATAAATTCCTGGACTTAAAGCTTCAGTCACACTACACCGCATAGCGTTAACGGACGCCAAACGCAAAGAAAAATGCGGCTGAAAGTTATCCGGTGATGAAAAGCATTTCCCGCTGCTGCTCGGTGCTCTCATGATCGCTGTACGGGGCGCATAAAACGTACAAAACGCACAATGACCGAACGATCAACGCACATATACCGAATGAACGACGTACAGTTAACGGACTTAACCGTACTAGTAATGGATTTGTACCGCAAAAAAACGTACACGCAGCGCATGAAGAACTGACAAAACCTTCTTTGAACGTTCGACGAGCGTATTTCTACCGGTCACGTGACGGACAAAACTGGTATAAATAGTCCGATATTTTTTTTCGTTTCGTCATTTTATTTTCCACGCTCTCAAAGATCCCACATGTGCTCCAAAATGCCAAAAGGCAAGGCTACCAATGCTGGGAAGGGCCAGGGGACGGAGGAATACTCCAAGGTCACCCTCTCATTCCCCTGATAGTGATGCTGTTCAAGAACAAGAAACCATTGAAGTTACTGAGGAAAAACTCCGTCTGTAAAAATTCCAAAAGACTCAGATCTACCAAGTGATTCATCCATGCCTTCTACTCAGAAGTTAAGTTAGTCAAAGAAACCAAAGAAATCTTGCCACCTCGGTGACGAGCAGGAGGAAGGTCAAGTCCTAGAATGGATTGCGATACATCCCTGTCTATGGAATTTAAAAGACCAGGACTACAAAAACAAGGTTTTGAAAGACCACCCCTGAGAGGAAAAAGCTGAAGAGCTCCAATATGACGCTAAATTCAAGTACATTTATCTGAATGTATAATTATCATTATAATTGTAATGTTTTAGTGTCTTATATTTCTGTAGTAATTTGGCATAAATTACATCATATATAAATTCCATGTTTGAATACTTTGACTCTGACGCAAGATGTCTGAGTGTAACGGCTAACTTCATTCCATGGTCAAGAGGGGTTCTGTATGTGGTATATTGTTTTGTTTTTCTGGGACCCAATCGATCCAAAATCTCATCAGACATCTCAGGAGGCATCCTCATGAAGTTTGTAAATGACCGTTGGTCTTCTCTCCGTCTTCTCTCTCTCTTCTCATGAGTTGATCGTAGAGACCAAGCATTCGACGTCTCTCAGGACCCAGCCAAGCCTTTGACCACCACCTCCGCAGTCGCCTCCTTCTTCTCCTATTTTCATAAGCGACAATATCTACACTCGCACCCAACAGGTCAATACGTGCCTGGATCACGGCCGCTTGATACTGCAGGTGGGCTCTAACGCGACACTTCATGATATGTGGATCATTAACTCAAACTATCAAAGTTTCAGAAGGTCCTTATTACACTCGAAATGCAGGAATGTATATGACAGTTATAACCAGGGAAACCTCGTTTTATTCATCATCAGTTTTGTGCGGTGGACCATCGATTCATGTCTGTTATTTATCAGTTCTTATACGTCCCTTGTTCGTTATCGTCCGTTTAACATACGTTTCATCCGCTGCATGTCCGTTATTAGTCCGGCCGTGAATCAGGTCCACCGGAAAAGAACGAACTCGAACCGAACAAGTTCAGAATAAGGAACGTACGAGTAACGAACAAAACGCATCCAGTGCATGGTTACCGTACATCTGACCGACAACTTTATCCGGTGGTGTACGTTCCAAATTTTGAACATGTTCAAAACTTTCCAACGAACGGAACGAACACCGCCGGACACCGCCGGACAAGAAGCGCAAACGCCGCATGATAAACGGAAAAGAAACGCATACGAACGGACATGGACGGATTGAAAATTTTGTTATGCGTTGGACGTCCGTTAACGCTATACGGTATAGTGTGACTGAAGCATTATAGCATGAGAAGAAGACAACATATCTACTTATACATGAAAGGCGTTCGTTGCAAAAAAATGCAATACACGTAAAGTGTTACTTTTGAAAACCACTTTTGAAAATGCGAATGTGTATTGACTGTTTCCATGCACAAGAAATAATAGTTTCTTAATCCAAACTTTTGATTAAAGGCACCCACTTTTGAAAAGGTTTACATAATGATTTTAACAATTGAGACCTAACACGAAAAGACTGACAAATTCACAAGTTCGTATCTTCCATTGCATATAATACATAAGCAAATTTGCACACTTATTATATCTGTCTGTCCCTGAGACATGCAACTGAAATGTTAAACTCAAATACAGAAAATAAAGTTAAAGAAAATGTGTTTCCAGTTGCAGATCTACAAGCGTACGTTTACTCAGTAACATGTTTAATAAGACAAATGCAGATTCACTAAGTTAAACCTGCACTCTACATGACCGAGTATTTACGAAATTCTGTTACGGAAATGTACAGACAGGTTTTAAACCCGGCAACTCTCGATCGCATTTTTAAAAGTAGTTTTCAAATGGAACATTTGACGTGAGTGAAATTGTGTCAACGAACGCCTTTCATACTTATAGCCCATTGATATTTGTAAACATGTATTTATGTATAGAAAAGTTGTGTATGAAATTATTTTAAGATATAACTAGAATACATATATTTTTGAACACATACGAACGCATAAAATAAACACAAATGTATCTTATGTTTCATCCGGGATAATCTGTAACCTATATAACAAATAGTGTTCTCATCGTAAGCGATAAAGCAAGAAGAAATAGCTTGTCGATGTGCTGGAGTTTTGAATGTTTAAAAGTGTCATTACACTTGCTTCCTTGATTGTAAATTTTGATTACTTGATCGATGAAGATCAGTTAGAATGACCAACAATACATTGTTTTTTTTAAAAAAAGAAACAACATTTGAAGTAAAGATATCTTAACGACAAGATGCATTAAACTTTTATCTCTTTGTTACTGAAAGCAATTTTTACCACCTGTCATAATTAGTAGTACAGCTTACCCATTCAAATACTTCTTCAATATCCTGCTTTTTAGATGTCTTTTCACTAACCTATCACAAAGTAAAAATATGCGTATCTAAAATGTTATTGATAAAGAGGCCTCTGCGAGACCGAAATATTACTTTGCATACTGCGAATCACCTTTCCGTGTTTGAGTTGAAATCAGACCATAAACTTTGAATTTTGAATTATGGCGTATTCTAACAAAAGGTTTTACAACTGTATCATTCATATTCTGGTGAAAACAGACACCACTTTCACGCGATAGTAGTTACGAACCTAGTTTCCGACTATACTTCCCTTTCATCATTGTCCCATAATTTCAAGGATTTATATATCAAGGTAAGCATTGCCAAATTTTCAGCTGTTCATGTGGAGGACTTCATTTCAAAGGATGTTTGCTAATTTTTCAAAATTAAATATAATCATTTATTCGTTTATATCTTCATCATCTCTTACAACTATGTAAACTGTATATAAATAAATTATGCTTTTTAAAGAATAACCATATTTAGTACAATGAGTAAAACTGTATGGCCTTCCATAAATTATTGCATTGCGTCAAAGAAGTAAATGAATAAAACAAAATAAGATGAAAACATTAAATAATAATAAAAAAAATGTGTGAAAGATTTATGTTTATGTCATCTGTCCTTAAATGAAATGGCAGAAAAACACAAATCTTCTAATGGGAAGTGATTCGAGAGGAGTTGAAGCATCCTTTCTTTTCGTTCAAAGTGTTTCTAATCACATTGCAACGTTTTATTCCGCTGTGTGTCTAGTATATGTAAGTGTATGCCTTAATGGAGAAGCTTTCGACGTAGTTGATTAAAATTACCTGTATTGCGATTCCCGCTCTTACAAAAATGTATGCATAAAAATGTGGTCATATAAGATATGTCCACAAAAAAAGATGGAACATTTCAGATATGGTTTACAAAGAAAAGTAAAACGAAATGGAATATTTATTTATTTTGTCGTTAACAGTAAGAAGCACATAAGAACATTTGTTAAAAAAAGAAGAAATTAACTGACATTTAAATAAGTTGTTGAAGATTATATATTTATATAAATTAAACATATTCATTATAATTAATATATTAACTGAAATAATAACGAAAACTTACACATGAAAAATTTCCTCCCATTTCACCTGCGGAATTCAACAGCAAATAATTTAAACATAAAATCAATAATTCCTAGATTTAAAAAGAACAACTAAATATCCTTTATCTAACAGCATAACGACATGTCATAATATTGGTATGCGACGTGTGGGGGCAGTGATGAATATTCGATAATCTACTCGGTATCCTAGCGTGTATGTTTTTATCAATTAAAAGATTTCTTATGATAAGTATCTCCTAAAAGTTTTTTTATCCATTTTATACTATTCACGTCACACTTTTCAATCAAAATAACCGTTATCTCTATAACGTAAACATAGGAGATTTTATCTATTTTATCTATTTTGTCATTCAGGAAAGCTAGTCCACAAGGTATACATCCAGATCATCAGAGCGTGATCATAAATCCCGGGTATGATGATAATTAAAGGCTCGAAGTTAAAAAAATGTGACAATAGTGTACGTATTTCAATATTTATCTTTAAATTTTTCAATATTTATCACGCTTTTTTTGTCATTGTTCTTTGCGAACCAAATCATTAAAATTTGCTATGGGTTTGATACAAAGCCCCTGCATCATGGTGGGTTGAAAATGTCGACCGATCCTTCAAAGTCACATAATTTTCAGCATATATGGGGGTAGATGTGTGAAGAATATATATCACATATCTGAATCTATATTGTTTCTTTGTTTGACATTTTTTCTGTATAAATGACTTGAAATCAAACTTTGTCTGATGGTACCAAGTGAGATTGATAATACCAAAGATAATAAGTAGCTACATTTTATATCATACTGCTAATGGCAAGGCTAGAATTGCAACTATAATGTTATCTAATTTTACAAGATTGTTTTCATTTTTAAAGTATCTAACTTCGCATCATTCTTTTTTTAATTTATACAATATTTCAGGAGTCTCAAGTAAAGATAGACGTTATGATATATCAAAAGTAAATAAACATTATTTAAATTGAATCTATCTAATTATACCACTAGCATTATTGTATATTGCTTACGTTTGCTTTAAACAATGTAAATCAAATCAAGGATTGAAATTGGCATAATTAACAGATACATGTATAAGTGCTTTTGTCACTTCAATTTCGGTTATTAACACCAGAACCCTAATGAGCTGGATTCATACCGTGCTCTACAATAAGAAATTGATAAATATGTTTTAACAACATAACAGTTATCATTTGTTTATCATTTGTACGAAAGACTCATAACAAAAAATAACGATTCCGTCGGTAGAACAGCTTCTTAGTTAAACATGATTTTTATGATTACCAAAAAAAGAACAAGAATATTGCTCTTCATAGATTTACGCTTACACCTAAAATAGATCCTGCAAAAAATCTTGACAGTAATTTAAGTTATTGACTGCTTGATCATGTACAACTCTTGATTTGTTTTCATTAATTTTGTAAATACGGGACTCAATAAGACCACCACGACTTTTATTAAATCTATTCAAAATTTACGAATTATTACG